GAATAGAAAAAATAACTAGCATTGTCCTTTTTTTGCTTGGGGTCCCTAGGAAATCCACCTTAACTCTGATCAAAACCTGCATCCCTTCAAACTCAAGGATGATTAAATCACAACAGTTCACGGTTTCTCACATAAAGCTACTTGCTGGGAGGGACAGAGTGAGAAACCCAGAAAGCCTTGACGTTGTGTAAACACTGTTCAACAGCAGCTGAAACACTGTGCATTATCAACACTGTTTTGGTCATACATCCAAGACATAGCACCAGACGGGCTATAATGAAGAATATTGACTTTACAAAACAGTACATCTGTGCAGATGAACATTTAAGTTACCTTTTCTCCTGGATTACTGCTATAGAACATAACACAAGGGTACAACTCTGCTGCATCCACATCTTCAAAAGCCAGCTTTGGCTCCTAGTTAAAAAAAAAAAAACAACAAAACAAAACCCCCTAAACTTAGAACACCTTAACTAGCAAAAATGTGAAACGTGACAAAGTTATACCTGCATTATAATCCTTGTAAGTACTGAAACTGTCACTTCTTAACTGTCATGTTTAGTTTTATATAAAATATCCATGCCAAACTACTGTTGCAAAAAAACACCACAAAAACAATTAATGTTAAATACCTCTCCATTTTTACCAAAGGAAATAGTCCTTGCTTCCATATCTAACACGCATGTGATGAAATCTCCTTGAGTAAAGCTGGACAGAGTCAAAGTTTGCTCGCCATTGTGATAAAGGTTACCACTATAGGCTCTATACAGCCACATATCTGAGGTAGTGCGATGGTTGAAGTCATGTACTGGCCAGCGAGAAACTCCCACACACGTGCCTTCATTGCCTCGATTCTCCTTCACAATGTAGAACTAACAGACAAAACAAAACAGGCAATAAAGCGTTTAACACAACAAAGCAATGAAAATTTACCTTACACACATTCATTCATACTTTTAACTTGAAGCTTTTAATACAAAATGATACACTAATAAGCTAAAATCACACTCTACCTCTAAAATGACATCTTGGTGTATTAGGTCAGTCATTAACATGTCATTTAAACTTAACCTACCAGTAATTAAGAACACTGTATGTACATACACAAAGAAGTTGGGTTTTTTCCCAGACTCAAAATGTGTACACCCAGAAGCTGGGTTACAAGTGCTAAAAATATTAAAGAAATAAACCAGCTTTACTCCTCATGTTCACAGTGAGTGATTTACACAGATTCAAGTAAAAAAAAAAGAAGTGTTATGCTTGAAGGTCGTACTAACGACTGCAACTGTGTATGTTTCTATACCCCTAAAAAAAAAATCACTCCAGCTGACGCACTGAAGGCTGGTCTTGTCAGTCAGACAGGCTGATGTGTCTTTTTGCAAGAAAACGTTTTGTGAAGTATTTTTGTAATGAAAAAAAAAATCTAAATGAATGAAAAATCAAAATCTAAAAAAGCAGGTAACGACTGCAGGACAACACACATTTGTGCTGACTATGGTTCTTAGGGATAAGTACCATCATCTCTATAAATACACCATACACATTCACGGTCTCCAGTCTGTATAGTGACATATCCAACTGGCAGTGCTTGAAAGCAGCCACAAATGCTTCACTTTGGATTGAAAATCATAGAAACATAGAATCCTGTAGGTTGGAAAAGACCCTTCAGAGCACCGAGTCCAACCATAAACCTAACACTGCCAAAATGTCATTTACTCAAGTATGTTGTCATAAGGGACAAAACCTAGCTAGCTGTTGTTTGTATGTCATAGTATATTTCCAAAACAAAGTAAAAGAAGTTAAGAAATACACTTTTATGCAACCTACCTTCCACTGGTAACACCCAGAAGTAACTCCAGTGGATGCTAAACCATATCCTTTACCCCCACTCCCGTGAGTCAGAATCTGCCCATTCTCCACTATGCAGCACTGAGCTTTCTCCGGGTCAAATGACACCTCCTGTATGGGAAGATTCTCATCTTCATCTTCAGACTCTCCTTGCTTCTATCAGAAATACGACAAAATACTTGCAGTAAATGTAACTCAGTTGCATTCAGTAAAAAGAGAAAGCAAAAGCATCATTACCTGCAGCTTAATTTCTTGTTCTTTCTCCTTCACTTGAATGGCATGTTTAGCCTGAGCTATTGGAGTCTCCCACATGCAGTCAGACAGAAGCGAGAATAACCGTTCCACAACCTAGTGTATCAGAATATAATTCAGATCATTTTAAATCCAAGAAGAGGACAACAAATAATAATATTATACTGTTCTACTGTGCTTTGTAGGTATAAATGTCAAAATATTTAGTGCTCTTAGATAGCAAATGTCTACACTGAGCCTCATCTGATTTGGACTCTGAACAAAACTACGAAACATTTAAAAGTTTAATGAGACTTTTTGAAGAAACAGGTGTAAAAGCTTATAACAAAATATAAAGACCTGAGCCATTTGATCATCTTCAACGCCAGATTCACAAGCAGGTAATACAGCTTCTAGTACATGAAGTGCAAGAAGTCTAGTCCTCAAATTGCCAACCAAGGGAACTCCTGAGGATGGAACAATACGTTAAGAACCTGAAGGCAACTTCTGCATCAGGCACGCACCTGTGCTGCCAGCTGCATGCTACCAGTGCACAATTTCCCAAAGCATAACTTGTGTGCGTCTGCGGACATTAGTTGTAGTTGTTCACTATGTAACACATGCTCTAACAGGACCTGGCTTCAGGAACTGCACTACAGAAACGCAAGTAAGCACTAAGTACATTTTGAAAAGATTGTACCTGAGCAGCACTTCTGTGAAGCAATATTAAGAAGTACTTCTGTCCACTTTGGAGATGCCATTTTTGACTGTATTGCTTTTGAAGACACAACTCTACGCAGGAAAACAAGAAAGTCTCCCAAGTGCAATTCCGCTGCATGTTGCTTTCGGAGAGCAGCTAGGAAGTTAAATTAAAAGTTTTAATTTACAACCTTACTTCTACAGTATCTGCAAATAACAATTTTAAAGTAGTTAGATCAAAGTAGAAAAAAAAAAAAAATAAAGCAGACATTCACACTTGAGCTTTGGATGTTTCCAGTTTTGAGAGTAGCGAGTCCAGAACAGAATACTTTCTGGTTTTCTTTTATTTCAAAATTGTAACAGAAATGATGCAAGATAATTACCTCTGAAGTCTCTCTTCTCATTATCCCCATTTGACTCTGTCTTTTTTGATTCTACTTCGTCTTCCTCACCTTCCCCTTCTCCAAAGGAAGCCATAAGCATCACCCCAGCTTGTGATAACAAGTTCTTCAGTTGACTGCATAGTAAATCCAGCAAAGACTGGACCACCTTTGGGCTCAGTTTGTCAGCATAGGTTCTACATGTACACACAAAAAAGTAAATATAAGAGTATTTGACAGCTGATCCCAGGAACAATAGCATAAAGACACAGCTATAAACTCAGTGCAAGTGACAACCGGCCTTCGCACAGCACTAACTCTAACTCATTCTATTGCAGCAGGTTACTGCTCCTCATCCTCCACCATACGCTTGGTAGATTATTCTTATTTGAATCCTATTTTTAAGACAATTTAGAACTGTCCAATTTTTGGAATCAAAGGATACATTTCCAGTACCTCCTCAGGGAAAAAGAACAACTTCGTCAATTAAGTGTAACCCCACTGCAGCTTCCAAAGATGCGGTGTTGGTTTTGTGGGTTGTTTGTTTTGGTGTGGGGTTACTGGGGTTTTTTTACAATACAGATTTGGCAGGTAAACGCAATGTGTTCTATGAACACTGGAATGAAGATGCATATACTGAATATTAAATAATAGTCTTGCTCTAAATAGAAAATACTTTCTCCACTGATTTTTTCTTTACTGAGTTAAATATTTAAGCGTTGACAGGATTTTGGATGCTGTTCCCTGGTCTAGCAGAGGCCATTATTCCTCAGAAAATTCCTTCGTATACTGAAAAAAAGCACAACGTACTGCTCTGAAGAACTCATACCACATTACTGGTATGGCTTTTACACAAATGACTTCTGCACAACAACAGAAAGCCTCATCATGTCAGTTGAACAGATCTAGATACAAAGCCAAATGAGAAAAATGGGCACTACAAGAATGTAATGTTTACAGACCATAAAGTTCTAACTACTCCGCTCCAAACTCCTCACTTACAATTTAAAAATATTTATCAGTCTTACATGCATTTTTCTTATGAATAATGGGACTACTCTTTTTCCCCACCCTTCACTTCCATGCTTTCGAACAGCATTTATTGTCCTAAAGAAAGCTCATGCAAAAGAAAAGTTCTTTTTAAAGGGTGCTGAAAAGCTTAACAATTAAGCTTTCTGAAAGCAAGGGAGCATTCCATACTTACCCTGTGGTGATCGCAAGGATCTGAAGTAGTCTTGTACTGGCTACTTTCAAAGCTGTGCTGAGCTGAGAAATACCAGTTTTGGGCAGCAGCTGCAGTGGTTGTCCTAACATGGTGTCTGTGCCACACAACTGTGATAGCACATTTAGCAGGCCAGTGGAAATAGCCAAGGAGACATCAACAGGCTGATAGTGTACACTTAGAGCAAAGACTGTTACCAACAGAAGACGCTGTTGTGCTTCTAAGATTAAAATAAAGTTGTTTTTAATTAGTAAGCTGTGTAGAGTAAGAACACTAAAACAGAAAAACAGTGGATTATTTTTAAAATAAAATATAATTAATTAAATTATCAAGTAGTTAGCCTTCTTTGTCAGACACTTTGAGGTAGTCTTTCTTAGGTACGATCTCAGCCCCCCTTTAACTCAATGCAACCTCAACGTCAAGGTTGTCCAAGGAAGAGTACCATGTAGATCTAGTTTGTTATGTAGACGTTCTGAGGCTAAATCTCAAACCAGAATCTCCTCTCTAGGGTAAGCATAACTGGGTGAAATACTTATTTTCTACTTGTACTTCAAGTTGATTCTCAAGAAATCTCTTTCGATTCCATTTTAATTGTAAGTGAAACAACGAAACAATTCAGGTAAGCGTGCCCATTAGGCTCTACCAACAAACTAAATTATGTACCTCTCTCCTTTACTGAAGCTCTCAGTCAGTGCGCGTACAAAGGCAAAGAGGTGCAGAGTTCCACCTATCCATTAAGGACAGATGCACACAGCAATTATCTGGCTATAGAAGCCCAAGAGATAGGGCTTCCAAAACAGGCAAGATGTCCTGTTCTTTGGTTTTGGGTTTAAAGAAAATTCACTTGAACAAAAGAAACAAGACTGAAGACTTCTCATCTCTTCAGAAAACTGTTTGTCCCTGAGAAACCTTTGGCACTTTGTGCTAAAGACACAGGTGACTGTGGAAGACTGTGGTACGCAAAATACAAAGGCTGACAATACCCAAAAGTCTTAAAAAAGAAAAGAGCTAACACCTGAAGAAAATCCAGATAGAAAAAAGTTAAAAAGCTTCTCTCAGGAAAAGCAGTCAGACAGATACTTCAGTGAATTCTGGTTCCTAATATCAAAGTCTGCTTTGTTAAACATATAAGCTGTTGTACCACGTATCAGAGCACATATTTTGCGAACCTGGTTTTCACTTACCTGTGTGATGCTTATTAGCTTGCAGAGCTCTTTCTAACGTAGCAGATAATTGCTGGTAAATTTTGTGCACAGCTACCTGGATTTCAATTTGAATACTTCTCTTAGCTGCTCTGATACCATCCTGGGTCAAACAAATAAATATTATAAGGACTGATACATTTTTATCACCCAGTTATTGAAACAGCAGAAAGTATTAAAGCATGTACCTGGTAGTGATGCAGTCTCACACTCTCTCCTTTGGCACCTGCATGTCCTACAGTGCCCAGACCAAAGCAGCCAGCAAGAAACTGTAGTCTAACAGAAGTAAGCAATGAAGAAGACTGAAATCCTGCTATCTGACGACTTCCCAGTAATGGCACACTACCTTTTTCCTCCATCCCTGATAGAAGCACTAAAATCTGATGAAGTGCTTCCAGACGAAGCTAAAAATAAAGGTAGGCAAAAGACAGTATTAAGTCACAGCAAATCTCCTCGGGAATGAGATCATCTTTAACCGTAAGCGAGAACAAATGAGGTAGCTGTTTTCTCATCAACCCCTTTTTTTTTTTTAAAAAAAAAGGGAATTCTTTAAGTTTTGGTTTAGAGTTTATTTACATAGTTCCAGTTAAGATATTTTAACTGAAAAGAGAGGAAAAACGTCCTTAATAGACAGAATTTGGACATTGTTTTAAAAGAACCCATGAAATGCGCATGATGTATGAAGATAAAAGGTGTTAAACTTACCTCAGCCCTCAACTGCTGCTGCTCCATTGCAATTATTGATGCTTGTGGACTAGTGGACATGCTTTCCTCTGGTTCCTTAAATCCTGGCGAGTTTCCCACATCTCCACTTACAAAGCTGACAACATTTTCAATCAAAGTATGAACTCCAAGGGATCTTGAGAGATCAAAATCGGACTCAACAAATGAGTAGGAGGAAGTGTATAACCAATCTCTGCTGTGTTTTAGTCGAGCCCATGAGTCACTTAAAGGTTCCACCTGCCCACGTACTGCTCCTAAAGATATACATAATGAATACATAAATTCCATTTCACCAGGTAACACACTTTGACAGTAGGTAAAGACTGAACTGCTGCTATTCATACAGGTGGAGAATGGATATTCATGTTAATTATACCATGCATTAAGCAACTTAGAGCAAAACACTTGATTTAAGTTTACAGGCATTTCCGTAAAGGAAAGGTTGTATTTCTTTTAATTACGTAAAGCAGTATTGCAACACGCTGCCAAGTGAGAAAGCAAAAAGATAGAAGCCACTCAAACTGCTCAGCTTTAAGCTAGAACACTGCATAAAAATGCTTTGCAGCTAAATGAGAAAACAGTAAAGAAAAGATCTGCTATAACAGAAACCGTGCACTTCGGATATCTATTTTAAGGTCTAACCACAAAACAAGAGTGTTTTTTGGTTTTAATAAAGCCACTATATAGTTCATAGTTTTGAAAAAGCACAATGTTATTTTGAATGAAATATTTACAGACTTCATGACTGCAGAAGGGAACAGAAAATTTTTATTTTAGACTAACACTTACTTTGTTATGATTATACATGTATACTAAATACTTTCTACAGCATGTATTAGATCTGTACCTGCACCATCTGGCAATTTCACAAGTCTAGTTTCAAGTATTTCCTATCACATCAGCATGTCATTACACTACCTGAAACTTTACCGTCAGTAATAAATGCACCACTCCAAGTGACCAGCAGTCTTCGAGCTGCAGCACTGGAACTTATTTATCATCATACGTTTGATCTCATTTCCGAAGCCGTTTTGCTAGCACTCTATCCCTGGCACAAATGATGCAGTGTCACTGCAGCCATACCTTCATCAGCAGTTAACTGATACGCATCAGTTAAATACACGTATCAACACATAAGTTGGTATTTTACTGTTTTTGTAAATGCTGTTAACCGACCTGGAGCTACAAGAGTAATACAAGAGGGCAGACCCTACGCAAGAGAACCTTCCACCTGTACAGATATGTAATGTCTGGAGACCTATGTGGAATCCTCATATACGTTTAAATTCACTTTGAAATTCTAGTTTGAATTACTTTAAATAATCTACATAGAATTTTTATATTGCTGTCTCTTGTGCACAATGAGCTACAGATCTAATTTGGAGAATCAAAATGCACAGTACTCGTACAAATCCACATTAACACTTCCGTTTTTAAAATCTGCCTGCAGGGTATCAGCTTCAAACGTTACTAAAAATAGCAATTTTCAGGAGAAAGTCACATAAATTCATAGGAATTCATCTGTTGAAAGCTTTTGTTCGTCAGTGAGGCCGAGTTCTGATGGAAACAGACGGATACTAGTACGAGGACCTCCTTCACACACTGCCTACCCGCAGCAGCTCTGTAAGCAGCTGCTCACAGGAACAAGGAAAGGCAGACACATCCATTCTCGAACTTAGGACAACTCCTGCACCTGTAGATCACAATTTGGACCTTCATGCAACTTACAAATTGAAAATATTGTGAAATTTTGCTTTTCCTTTGTAAATTAGGTAGATAATCTCCACTTAGTTGCCAAAATATTTAATTGTCAAGGCTATGAATTATGAAAACCCATTCACATTCCATTTCCTTTTCTGGAAATAGCATTCATGTGCATTTGCATAGCATTCCTCACACTTGCTGCTAAACAGATTGCAACGGCTTCAGAAAGAACCGTCACAGTACTTAGGTCTTATTGGGTATTTGACAAAAATATACGCACACAAATTTATTTTGGATAATGCAAAGGTTACGTTTAAAGACGAATTTTCCAAGTAATCTAATATTCTAATTTCTGCTGGTTTATGTAACACAGCAATATTACCTGGTTTACTGAGAACAATTTATTTTGTCATGTTTACTATGAAAGAATTTAAAGAAATTCTGTTACTCAATTTTACAATTTATACCTAGTGACAATTTTTAAAACAAAAGTAAAGACAGATAACCACTTTACCCTAATTTTAATACTAATTCTTATAATACTTGTTTTCAAGCTCTCCATTAAAAATTAAGTTTATGTTGAAGTGGCAGGTGAGAAACATAGGATAAATAGGACACAGTAGAATAAAAGGGTGCTAAAACACTCAGTTTCGTGTAGGAAGGAGTTTCCTGGCATATGCATGGTGAACAGAGCCCAAGGGAGATGGTAACTGAAGCCTCACATCTCCTACAGCAAGCACAGCCAGATCCTTACCAAGTCCACAAACTGTGGCCTACATTGCAATAACTATTTCAAAATCCTCCTTCAGCCCTAGAGTCTTCCAACAGCAAGAGAGCTTAAAGCACCCCCAAGTGACATCAGCTTCCTACCCTTCACCAGCCCTACACTACGCTATGCCACTGTGAGGCACAGCACAGAATCAAAAGGATTTGCAAAGAAACAAAAAGAAATTCCAATGTCTTCAATCATAGGCTTTAGGAGACCTTTCAAGGATTAACAGAACGTCAGAAGAAAACTTAGTTTTGATAGTCAACAATTCTTCTAAGAAAAAACCTCACCATATATTAATAAAAACCTGAACTATTTCATATTTGAAAAAAGATAAGGTCTTAGCTAATCATTTTAGTATTAAATGCAAGAATGCTTAAATGTAAGAGCAATTTAAAATAGTTTCAAATTAGGAGAGAAGCCCAACAATTATGAGATACAGATTAAATGTGAAACACAAGAAGTCATAACTAAAACCACAGAGTTTAAAAACAAAGATGTCAGAAGTCAAAGTAGTATATGTCAGAAATAAAAATGTTTAAGAATTAGGGCACACAAATCTAAAACAAAGTAATTTTTTTTCCTTGAAGATGTTAAATATCAATAGAAGACTCAGAAGTACAATTATATATTACAGCTTAGCTTGATTCTGTGTAGTATCACTTACACAGAATTGATTGCAGCTTAGCACTTCCATCAGCCTCTACAATCACAGGAACAGAGTTGCACATAAGAATGAACTTTAAGCTTACAGAGAAAAAAAAAAAAAAAAAAAAAAAGAGTTTACTTGTCCTTATAAGCCAGCTTGTAATAATGAGTTCTCTAAATGAATGTGGCACAGCTGCAATACACACTTCATAAAACATAAAACATGTAGGGAAGCTATACAGACAAAAAAATAAACATGCCATCAGTTACTTGCTTGAAGCTCTTCTTTTTTCTGGGGCTCAACTGGCCAAAAACGAGTAAATACACTACACCGCACAAGAATCAGAAGACAAAAGCAGACGTTTGAAACAGAAGGTAACATAGTCATAAAATCTCTTCCTCATATTATTTTGACTTAGACTTAAATGATCAGTCTCGTCTCAATCAATACAACAATATATCAAGCAGCAAAGTTGGGGGGAAAAAAAAATATTTACTCTTGTACAGACTTTCTAAATTCTCCACCTTCTTTTCATGGAAAAAAAAAAGTATCCCCTTTACCACCACTGTATGCATACACCAAGACATGCTTACCTCCCTTAATCAAACACCATCTTTTGGTTTCAAAATGCAGAACTCGTATTATTACAGGTACACAAAATTATTTCAATTTAATCTGGATTTCATTTAAGTTGCTGCTTTTTTCAGAGTTGCCCATTTGTGTTAGTAAAGTACTACAGTACACAAGCACACTGAAATTCACCCAGCTAAGATTTGTGTGAAGTAAGAAAATTCCAGGCTGGAGGACTCTGGTGTATCTGTCTGTGACTATGCTTAGGGTTGCGCTGCTACACACGCATTCTTTACTGCTAAGTACCTAACGCAGTGTACAGTATCCCACAGGGACTCCACAGGATAGGTACAACATTTTGAGGCATACTCTCTGGATCTGAAAAATTGAAAATGATGAATCTAAGCAACACGAAAATCCCAAAGGGCTGAGATATGAGGGGAAAATATTAATATGCTCATCACCACTTGTGACAGAAGTATTGAAAAGACTTTCTCTGCAGTAATGGAAGGAAAAGTTTATTAATTCAGAAATAACTAAGTAATAGGAAGGAACAAGATACTCAAAGGATCCTCAAGCTGAAGTAGAAATACCGCAGTCGTGTTTCTGAACAGATACAATAAATGAAGGAAGAAGACAATTAAAGAGTGGACTGAGTGGCTACGACGTTAACCCTGTTAACCGTTAATCTGCAAGACCACAGGAACAACTTACAGTATTAGTCATTATACTGCTAGTTTTCTATACTGCATTTTATGAATAGGAACAGCTTCCATAGCATAACAATCAGCCTATAACCAATAGTGAGATTCAATTCTTAAGGAAATGTGATCTGAATTTTGAATAATGAGTTGCTGCATTCATTAAACAGAAATTCTAAAACAAGCCAACCCACTCCAGAGGGAACTACTCTCCTGCCTGTTACAAAATAACCACTCACCCACACCCTATACACACTACACTGTTCTGACAACTTTGCAAGGATCAAATACTCTGCAAAGAGTAGTCTGACCATACGTTAACCCTGCAAAACCTCAGCTGGAAACATCATGTGTGGTCATGGCTCAGTAACAAGTGGTGTGGTTAAGTTCCAGTAAACTTCTTCAGAAGAGACAGGAGGAACCTCACGCTGTATATTAAGCCATTTTTTTTAGTGAAAATTCCCTGCTAAGTCTCTAAAATAGCACAGCCTACAGGAAAAATACCAATGGTGACAGAAGAAAATTTCTTCAGGAAAAGCTTTTGCTTCCCAATTAGCTCCACTTGTCAAATTCCTTCACAGAGTTTATGGAGACATGCTTAAAAAACCAGATAGTTTCAAGGGACTTCTGCAAACTGAAGTTAAGATATTGTTCTAAAAATCACATGTCAAAGAAAACATGATTGAATTTGTCAACTAACAAACTTCAGCTGAAAGAAATCGGAAGTGGTTCCTATGGTTCCTCTTTAAGACTCGACTTGTTCTTTCCCACCTAACACTACCAATTCTACATTCACTCCAATAAAAAATTGAAAAGTTCGGCTGCAAGTCCCTTAAAGCAACAGTGGATACTGCTGGTTTGTAGAAACAGAGACAAGAAAAACCAGGAGCCTTTGTGTTAACTGCAATTTGAGAGGTGTTTCCAAAGTATACTTCTGTTGTAATGCATGACTATCCTCTGCACTCAAAACAGAGATCTTCTCTAGCATCTATATAGCATGCACATTTCCTCCCCCTCCTCCTCATTTAGAGGGGCATAACACCTTCAACGTCTTCCACTCAAAAGCAAATCATACATGGAAGACCTGGGAGCGCAAGGTACAAATATGCGTATGGAAATAAGATCTCAAAAAAACCCTTAACAAATAAAAATATGTTGCCTGTTTCTCACTAAAATGTCTAATGGTTGCTTCAGGGGAATTTGAGTTCGGTGGCACCTAAAAATCCAGCTGGAGATCCTCTTGAGGAACCATGCTTGTAGTCTTCTGTAGGTCATATCTTCTACAGCATTTCACTTGCCATTAACAGGAAATCAGGCTTTTTCTAATCCTCCAATTCTTAACAAATGTAGCAAATTCAAATGCAGATAGCTCATTCTGATGGAACTCCTTAATCTCTTTCGTCAGCAACTCAGGAGGGAGCACAGCATAATGTGAACATGCTGTAAGAACTTACAGATTTCTCCTATTCTTCAAGATGACGTAACCGTGAACATAAATGTCCCCTTTATTAGTCACGGCGTATCAGAAGAATGAAGATGAAACAGAAGGGGTTTTACCAGTCAAAACATCCTTGACAGACACTGTGGTATCTCTAGCACTTCAGCGTGCTGGCTATGTTACAAGAGACGGACAAGCCAAACTGTCTGGAAGTCACATCTTCACCAAACACTGAGGCATGCTTCCGTTCTAGAAGATCAACTAGGATTCACAAAACTAGACATTTCATCAGAAATGAAAGACCTTGCAGAGCAGCGAGCTGAACAGCTCATCCACTCGATCACACAGATCTTTGTAAATCTTCTCCTGACCTTGACTGAAGTATCAGGAATGCTGCCCTGTAAAGGCACCCTGCATTCACCAGATGAGTCTGGTATTGGCATCAACCAAAACTGTCATATATATCATCCAGAACAAGAACAAAAGTTTTCGTTATTGTATGCTGACTAACTTCCAGCTGCCAAAACCACACAAAAAATTCTGGAAGTACCACAGCACAGCAAACAAGTCCTCCAGTACCAGAAAACAGGTATCAGTACCGGTTGCCAGAGTGTGGAGTTTGCAAATGAGCCATTTCAGCTTCTTTAGGTTCTGGACAGATGAACTGCATTTAGCCCAGCGCCTCCTCAGTGTTACACACCTGGTGCAGAACCCTCTTCTATAATAAAATGCTTCTATAGGGTGGTTGGTTGACAAAGCCTATTCTTGCATTATTCCTTATACCCTGGAGCCCGTGACCAAAACCACCTCATCAGTCTAACCAACAGCTCAGGAACCATAATCCATAGAATATGCTGTATGTCAGATCTAACCCGAGATGACTTCCTGGATTACTTGTAGGATACAGAGGAAAGTCAGCGAAGAGTTCTGTGTCAGATTAATGGCAAAGCTAAAAATGGTGGCTTCAAAGAATATACTGCAGAGTGCTGACAGAGGCTATCGGATCTTCTAACAGTGAGAATGCGGTGACCATACATCCTGCTGTCACAGCATGAACAGCTCTAGCAAACTTCTTTGCCTGCTCAACTGGTTCAATCGGTTATCGATGCACAAGGCATTCCTTTCCACATTATTTACAAATTGAAGTGCAATGAGTGCTGCCACTGACAGTTTTTTACAATTCCAAAACACTTTAAAAGAGCAAGCAATCTCTTAGTACTCTGCTTAATGACGAAGGCTATTAAACTATAACTCTTACGTTACCTAATAGTATTAAGGCTTCTGTAATTAAAGCGTATCATAACCCAACCTAACTCCTGTTAACCTCTTCTCAAGATTTTGACATCAGACAGAAGCCGTGATTCTAGCAAGAGACTGCATCATCCAGAGTGAAGTGGGACTTATTGGCCTCTGTGTAAACAAACATCCTTTGCTCCCTCCACTACCTTCTGTGAAGAAGCTTATTGAGATTCCCCAGAATGAAGAAGCAACAAAAAGCAGTACAAAAGCTAAAACTCTGATTTATACTGGAGTAATGGAAGAAGCGGTTGCTTGGTTCTGTAGGTGCATTGGCACTGAGAAGATGCAAAAATTGAAGCAGTATATTCTGGATACAAGTTCTCCATGTTGAAGTACATTTTCTGGTGAAAGTTCATTGCTAGCATACGAACAGAGTGTTCTACTTCATAGTGAACTTCTCTGCCAATGTTTTTCTTCCTGAAGTCATGCAAGTGAAAACAGAATGAAAGTTCCCAATTCACTCGACCTCACAGAAATCCTCACCTGCTTCAAAAGAGCATCACAATTCTAGAAACTAGAATAAACAGTTCTAACCTAGGAAATACTACAGCCAAGCCACAAAGCAACAGAACTTAGCACAACAAACAGTAGGTAATAATTATTTTAGAGGTTATTTCCAAACACTCAGTTTTAACATCCTGATTGCTATTGTGTACTGTATTTAATTGCAAACACACTTTAACTTAGGAAATACTAACATATTTATCAGGTCAATATCCCCTAGATGAAAAATAAAACTTACCTCTCTTTCTGTGTGATGATGCCAAATCCAAATCAACATTTCGTCTTCCACTCTAGATTAAAAGATTAATAAAAGCCTCATTTCTTTCAGTGAATGTACGGGATGCATAATTTGAGTATTTAAAATGCCTCCCTCACCCATAAGAGTGAGAAAGTTAGCAGAGCCATAATAATTCCAACTGCTTTTTTTAACACCATTACTTTCTCTTAACAATGGCAGTTATTAAAAGAGATCTCTATACTGAAACACAGTACTAAACAAATGTTTAAGATGTACTTCCCACTTAAATATACACAATGCTAGTTTACTTTACCAATGAATAACCTTCCTCGTCTGATTCTGGCTGAGATAAATCAGATTCACTTCTTGACTTCATCAGTCTGTAGTTTGAGTTTGCATGGATTGAGCGACTTTCTGCAGAAAGACTTTCACTCCTGCTTCAGGTGCACACACATTCATACACACGCATGCGCACAGAAAGAAAGAAAATACTGATTATTAGGCAAAAGTAAGAGTTGATAAGTCCAATTTAGCAGGTGCCACAGTTTTATTTGGGACCACACTATCACAGAACATCACAAGGCCACACCAAAGAGGAAAAAAGTGGTCTGATGGCTTCAATTATTCTGCTTACAAAGGGTATTCGTAAACTTTGTTACTCTTAACATCTTTATTGGTCAGCTGAACAAACGGCAACCTCAAATGACTGATCATTCAAGTGCCTTTGTAAGTATTACATACAGCACAGAGAAACACTTCTGAGCTGAGAGGACAAGAAAACAGAGACTGAGTAAGTGGGTGAAAAAGCACTGAACTTTTCAAAAACCCATCCATAAAATGCATCCTGAAGTTGATATGCTGGAGATGAAAGGCACTTTGACAACGACAGAGGCAGCCACCCACGCTTTAGGGACTAGATTTCCAAAAAGAGGCCAAAAAGAGTAAAAGGGTACTGAATATATATGCTCTCCCTCTGAACTTGCCATCAATAGGTTCATTTAAAGTATCAGAGCAGAGTTTCTGTAGACCAGAAGCTTCTTAACTAGACTCAGGAGTTCACTAGTAGCGCCCGCTACACAATTACTTTGTAATATTCTCATACACATGCACAAAGATCTCTAGAATAAAAGTTTAAATGGGTCAAGATTAGAATAAAATTGTGTTACCAATAATATCCCAGGTTATTAAAATACATGATGTAGTATTTGGACTATTTAAATTCTACACTTCTCAAATTTAATGAGCTGTCTTGCATATGCCAATATGTTACGAATATTTATAAAAAACAATCATGAACAACACTTTTTTCATAATAGGCTTTGAAGCTTGTGCTTTTAAACATATCCTACAAATTTGATTTGGACACTCCTATATAGGACATTTGTACAGTTCAAGAATATACAAATATGATAATAAAAAATCCTAACGCACACAAGTTTTAGAAAAAGTAATTTTTCAAACTACCTCAAATTATCTGCACGCCTGATGATCTGGACTTCATTGCTATTCATCACTAAGCCCAACTTTGAAAAAGTAAATATGGTCCAGACAGAATAAAACTCTTATTAAGGTTTAGTTAATGTGGGCAAAGAAAATTGAGAAAAATCACTTTCTCAGCAAAAACACAACATCGCTCTAGGCAAAAATCTTCTTTTAAAAATAATTCTAAGAACCCTCAGAGGAAAACTGAGGTTATTCAACCAACTATAAAGGAAGCAGAGAAGAGTTAACAATTCTAAGCAGCCAGCAAACCCCACCTGGTCATGAGTCCGATCCCCTCCGGAGCAGCAGAGGGAGGCTGCTGTAACTGTCTATCCTCCCTTCGCTTCTGGAGCTCCTCGATAACAGGGCTTACTCCTAAGATCAACATGGCACACCTGTGGATCACCGAGTTGCATGCAGCAGTATAGACATCTTGACCTTCTGTCAGATCAGTGCTGATTCTTCGCTCCTGCTGAGACTGAGCTGGAGGATCTTCAAGCCTAGTCCCTGTCCCAGTGTTCATCCTATCTCGATCCCGACTGCGAGCTACTTCACGGGCTGATAGAAAACATTGAAATATTTCTGTAACATGCAACACAAAAAGAAGGTCTTAACTTCTAGACAAAGCTACATCGAATGAAATCTTCATCTACACACATATATCTTGGGCCAAAAACTGGTCCACTGCAAAGAACAACAAATATTTTTCCAACAGTAAAAGAAAATATTAATAATACAAAACTATCAAAGAAGTCATGCAAACAGGTTAAATGAAGTATTTACGTAATGTTAAGTTTAAAATGAAGAGGGCAATGCAATTTGACAGAACACTAAACACTCTTCCTAGAACACCTCCTAGAACCATAAATCACCTCACAAACGCGCAATTCAACTCCACAGTATACTTTCAGGAAAGCCTACTGCACTGGGGAGATGACGACACATCATATAGAAACTAAAGATGTAGCATACATTTTGGTCTGTAAGACCCCAAACAGGAATATGTGAGTCCTAACAGAGAACATAAATACTGGCAGCAAAATAGGTGATGACAGCAGAGACTGGAAAAAGATAAACATTCTAACAGTATCCGGAGGAACAATAGTTGGAAAAGAAAAGAAAAATACGTATCTATGGAAAATATTTGAAGTCAGTCCATTTTCTTTTTTAAGCTACATAAATTCCACAGTAATTTTGAAAGGTTGACATGATTTCTGTCTTTGAGAATAGTAGGGCAACCACAGAGAAAACAACTGAGTGTGTATGTTGCTTCACTAAAATCGGAAAAAAGTATTAACTATCCCATCGAGCCTGATTATCAGCCCAAGTCAGTGTAACAGTTTGCAAAGTTCACCTTTTCCAAGCTCTCTTCTGAAGAATAAAGTTTTTTAGACAACCCATGAGAAAGCACTGCAAATAGTGTTGCAAACACCAAACTTTGACTAAAAACCTCTAAGATTTTAACAGATTGAGAAGAGATATTCAAAGATACAAGTGAATTCCAACTCCATCAGCCCACTGTTATCAACAGCAGTTTCATTCCTAAACTTCAGGATAACATTACTCTTCAAAGCTTATTACATACAAGATTAACACATACAAACACACAAAAAATTCTATACATAAATACCGATGAAAACTCAGAGATCTACTGAGCACAAGTCTAGAGGAAACAAATATGAAACCTACTAGTCTTGCAGACAGTGCATATAGAAGTGTTGGTATACGTCAGAGGGCCTGAGAATTGCCCATAAAGGCAGACCACTTGCCTCGTATTCACACTCCCTCGTATCAAAAGAGTTTTCTGATCCAATAAAAGTACTACACCATTTTATAAAACTAAACCTCCCAAAATTTTATGCAGACAAATCTTTCACAATCTTTTAAGAAATTTCTCCATTTTACCTCAGCGACAAAAATCTATTGTACTTCCAAAGCACATTACATTATTGACATACGTAACCAGTACTTACTACCAGCTGTCATAACTTCATGTTCTCTTTCCTCCTCCTCATCTTCTTGTTCTGGGTGTCCTTCTTCTCTGTCACGTTCTGCCTGCTCTTCCATCTCTGCTTCTTCATCAATTGTACGAGTGAAAGAATGTTCTTGAGTATCAACATCAGCAGATTCTTGGTTATCTAACATCTTGATTAAAAAAGAATATATATATACAGTGAAATTAATTCTCACCAAAATGAAAGATAAACATAAAAGGACACAGGTATTTAGTAAGCTTTTTTCCTATTGAAAAGATACTTTTGATATTGTGTGAAACAAACAACAGACAGCTAGTTACATTCAAGGCTTTAAATACATAAGTTGGAAAATTTAATTTTCCTTTAACAACTGTTACTCAAGATTATTTGCAGAAAAATGTCTCCTTGTTATGCTTTCTTAGACCCTATTGTCAAACTTTGACACTTCAGCGACAAAGCCTCTAGCAACCACAGGCTGACGTCTCATAAAATTTTCTCCCTTTAAAAAGGGCATGAATATGATAAAACTTACCCAATATGTTACCATTTTTATTCTTACTAGTCCTGAATTTGTTGGTTTCTTCCTCCCTTTAATTTTAATGAAATTAAACAAATGCACACCCCAAGATCAAAGATCAGCATATGAGGTGCACAAGAAGAACAGTAGTCTTAGAATTTGAATTTTAAAAATCCTTCTGATTGAGCGGATACATTTGGGTTGATGCTTTCCTTCAATCTGAGGATATAAGTGCTGATCAGCAAAGTACTTGCTACCTAACAGACAATTTTCCAATGCAGGAAGGAAACCGCTTCACACAATCCGAAGAAGGCAAAGTTTAAATACAAAACGCACAGTCACATTAGAAGTTTTAACAATACTTTGGAAGGTAATTAATCCTACAAATCTTGGGCCACACACATCCCACCAGCATAATTCACCTGCCCTCTCCCAGCAGTTTGCCTTTCCAAAAAAACAGCAGGCCTTGGCAGCAGCAGATCATGGTCATCCTCTTTCTAGCACCTCTCATTTGCTCTCTTCATTCTATCATTAAGCCTGTGTACACTATGCAAACGCAAACCAGCTATTTTTTCCCAATAGTATTGAATCTGAGACCTCCCTGAAGCAGAAAATCTACATCTGTGCTGTAGGCTTCTATGCCACAGCACACGAGCACTATGCTTACAACAGGTAAAGCTAGGCTTCAGGCTGGGCTTGAGTCAAACACTGTCCATCAATCGCTTGCTTCAATTGATTTAATACCACATGTACTACAGACTAACCGACTCCTAATTATACATTGTCCATTTTCATCTGAAAACTCCTGAAAGTTTTTCAACAACGTAGAATAAAAATACCGGTAACATCTCCGAAACGAACATTATGTAATATTTTCTCACCACACAGTAGAAGCCTGAAGAACTGACAAGAGATCTACAGTCTTACCCATCTGTCTCTTGAGGATGATCTAGTCTGGATAAGTTCCATGTTTTTACAGGCAAGCAAGCGACTCCGAACTTTATATACACAACGGTATACTTCTGCCAAGGATTTGCCAGGCTGGTACCTACAAAAAAAGGGACCAAAAAAAGGAAGAAAATCATATAAACTTTCTTTTAAAAATTGAAGTTGGAACTTTTAAAAGCAGATTTAAGTTACTTGCCTGCTCTCACCACAAGCTTGGCTAAGTAAACTTGTATGTTTCAGCAGAGCTGCAAGAACAAATCTGGACACAGTATCCAAGAGCGACTCATTGCTTAAAGTTGCAGTATCCCAATCTGAAAATAGAAAGGATTCATCAAAACTGGCTAATGTTTCCAACAAACAAATACATTTTCAATGACATCATAGAAAAAAAAATATCTTCACCCATTGAAATATTTCAATTCATAAGTAGTTTTAAGGCTTAAGAAATAAGTTTAGCATCAGTAACTCATAAATACACTGCTTCAGACAAATGGGTTTCAGACTGCTCCAAGCACTTCAGCCTAACCGTCAGCTGAAGGCAAGCACAGGAGCTGCCACCAGGCTCAGAGCACTGAACTCAGGGTGCAGCATCTCCTTCAAGCAAGGGCACTGAACTGGAGCTCTTCTCTTTGCCCAGCGCAGGTTTACATGGAACTTGTTTAGGCACACACCATATTTGAGAATTTCTACTCTTCTACACGTGGCTGAAACCACATCCAAGAATTCTTTTGCAGACCTACTTATGATGAAAAAGCCTTATCTTCAGTAGGAAAGCCAACCCTTAACACAAGCACAAGCTTCACTGCTAATATTAACAAGAGACATTTTCAGGTCTCAAAATTAAGGTTCGTCCAGTATTTCCAAAAAACGATTTTTTCATTTCTAAATAATTTTTCCCCACTTTAAGAAGAACCATTGTGAAAATGATACTGTTCTACTACAAAACAACCAAACTGTCAAACAAGCCTCCACAAGGCACCATAATTTGCCATGGGGAAAAAAAAATCTATTGCTGTCCCACTTCCTTACAAATATCTTCATAATATTTTTTTTCGATTAAATATTATCTACGAATCCCTGCAAACTGCTGTAAAAATCACAAAAACTTACCTTGTCACATAAAGTTCAGTCTAACTTACCTGTTCCTCAGCAAGTTCCATTACTTTGCATTTGATGCTACGCCAACCATCAACACACAACTTTCAGCCAGCTCGCATTGTGAACAGAGCAGAACCACATGAACTTCTAAACACCCAATTTCATAACCAAAATAATACATATTAGCCCATTCATCTCAGATTTTGCAAACAGACAACCTGTATTTTTTACTGGCATTCCTACTTCTGCAGAATTCTGCAACCGACTTCTCTGTGTTGCTCTCAACACGCATGCAATATCATTTGCTGTCTTCTTCATCTGGCCCAGCTTGGCCAGAGCTACAGAAAATTATCTCTGGATCCAGTAGAGAGTTGCAGTATAACCACAATGCTTAGTGGATCTCGTTGAGAGAAGAGCTGGAAAGCTTGAGCAGGAACGCAGATTTTAGCCAATAAGCATGAAGAATCATTAACGCTGTCAGGCCAGCCTCCCAGAGACTCGAAACACAAAAGATGACTTCCCCTTTCATGCCATTCCTAACTTATTTTGCAAGTTTGCATCAATTTTTCTTCTTAATTCCAAGTTTCACCCTGCTCTACTAGGAAAACACAAACACCAACAACTGAGCAAGCAAACAAGGGTTTCTCTTTTCCAGTTTGGAGAGAAAAAGAATATTGAACTACACGTTTGCCGAACACTGGAATCAGTGTCAAATTAAGTAACAGAAAAAGCAAGAAAGACCATGGAACACGACAATAAATGAAGTTTAGCATGTCGCAGAACTAAAAATTGTTGCCAAAGAAAAGAGGATTCTGCTCAGCCTGTAGTTAAAGCATGAAATACACTTTTAACACACACACACACACACACACACACACACACACGCATATCTATTTTCAACACCTTACCTTTACTAACAGCATAGTCTTGCATGCTGATCCAGAGGCTCCTGGCTGGTTCTTTTGTACAACCCAAGGCCAAATCAACGTAGACAGAAATCTCAGGTCTCAGCTTATAATCAAATGGCTTCTGCTCCTCATTTCCTGACAGGGCCACTTCTAACAAGGAGCTCATGCATTTGTCTAACAGAAGGGAAATACTTAAGCAGTTAAACTCTGGAAATTTTGAGGATTACGTGCATCTATCTAAAGGCATATAAAACAGCCTTCCTTCTCCACTTCGTTTAAAAAAAAACACACAAGACACCGCATTGTCCAACTACAAACTCACATTAGATAAGAAATAGAGTGACTCAGAGTTACAATTCACCGAAAATGCATGAAGATTTAGAAGCATTATCCAACCCTGCTTCATTAGCCTAATTCTGTACCAGTAATTCTACCTGAACTACATAGCCATACACTTGCAATTACTGTATCTTCAGGCATGGACCCATTTCAAAATATTATGTCTTGTAAATAAGTCTTGAAGTAGTCTACCCAGAATCAGAGGAAGAAGGAGACATGAACTAAGAGCAACAGGCCACAGAGAAGTATGTGCATGATTCAGATAGGAAGGGATGACTAGAAATGCTTATGCTGAGTCCTGTTACCATTCCTGGTAGATCAGAAAGATTGAAGTTTGTTGTTAATAGTCTTATTTCTAATTAACAAAAATTCCACTTTATAAAAGGAACAGAATTTAAGATAATATTTTCCAATAATAAATACGAACAATGGAGCCCCTAGAGTGTCTAAAAGAGTAAAACATTTAAAATAAACTCAGTGAAGTCTGTGTTACTTCTTTCACTGAGAAACTGCAGATATTTTTTCCTCCGTATGCACTTCCAAGACACTTTGTAAACTGCAGCATGTCCTTAAATATCCATTTTCCAACTTCTTGGATTACCATGTAAATAGCCAAGAATGTGGAAAGACAAACTCTAAGTACACAGACTTCTCCAAACATCATCAGAAATGTCACAACGGAATGCAAATAATTACAAAGACAATTAGACATTTGCATTTAACCGCTTACCTAAATGAGGAATATCCATTTCCACTCCATCACTGAAAAGCGGAGTTTTCAACCAATATGCTGTATCCTGTTCCTCAGGGGACACTGCAGGTCCTTGCAGCATGCCACCAAGACAGCGCCCAATAAGCAAAGCTACAGTTCTCTCGAGATCAACAAGCCATACCCAAGACTGGGCAGGCTGGGGCAAGGGCACTCCAGCAGGGTCAATTAATTCAGGTCCACCTAAAAGTATTAGCAATGGATTGTCAAATTAGTCACTGTTGCCCCAATGTTAAAAATTATTCCAAAGTTAGTAAAACTAATGGCAGATCTGGTTAATATTTCCCATTTAACAGTGGATCTGCCCCTCAGTCAACACCCTGTCAACTGAAGAAACAGCAGTTAGGACAAACAGATTGCTTAACATTGTAACTTCAGCAGCAGCAGAGGCCATCACCATTCATGGTACAACTGTTCGTACTCAACAAAGTAAAGGCTCTTTTAAACTCTGCCCAAGCACCTATTTTGACCAGTACATATTTCTTTGTGTTCTGATAAACACGCATAGATAAATAATACAACTGGAAAGAGCACTTAATAAAAGCAGAAAACTTTGGCCAGAAATATTAATAAAAAATTCACTGAACGGCAAATAAGTACAGCACCTCCTACCACAAATTTCAGTTGCTTTACCTCTGTTTTTATATTGCTGTTTCATTGGCACCAGAAATATCTGGTGGCACGTATTCAGCAATTTAGCAGGTAATTCATGCTTTTAAGTTAAAATTCTATTCCACCATAAAACAGAAACAAAAAGTAAAATTTGGACATGAAAGTGAACAGATCATGACAAAATTATCTGTTAGCTGCGTCAAGGGAAGTTCAGATTGGACATGAGGAAAAAGTTCTTCACTGAGAGGGTGGCTGGCCACTGGAACAGGCTCCCCCGGAGAGTGGCCATGGCACCAAGCCTGTCAGAGCTCAAAGGGTGTCTGGACAACGCTCTTAGTCCTATGGTTTAGTTTCAGGTAGTCCTGCGAGGCACAGGGACTTGGACTCGATGGTCCTTTTGGGTTCCTTCCAACTTGAGATATTCTATGATTCTAGATTAAACAGTGTTTCTTTTACAAGTCAAGGTGGTATTTTCATGTATTACATACAGTATTTTCAGTTCAATACAGATTTCCCACCTTGCTCTTGGATTCCCACTCGAGCCAATACACATTCTGGGTTGACAGAATAAAGAAGTTTGCCTGCAGCTCAACATATTTCACAGCAAGGGATGTTAATACTTGAAAGGGAGATGTAGCAAGACACTTAGCTTAAAAAAAAAGTGCCATCTTTAAAGGGAAAGTTCAACTTCCACTATAAAAAGGTGACGTGTCATTCTTTATTTTTCAGATTAAAAGTGTGCTAGTTACTACACTTACCATGAAGTGGCCACTGTAATTCTTGATCTTCCAAAAGGGCTGCAGCAGGTAACAGTCTATTAAGACGATCTAAGGGTGGCAGCAGATCTAGCAGGTAACTCAACAAAGGCCGAGCTACTGATACTGGCAGTAACAATAATGAGTTGACAATCTGAGAGAGCATACTGCCAGCAGCCGATACATAAATCACATCTACAGACAAAAAAAAACCAAAAAAACACCACAACACAAAACCCACACCATAATTATAATTCATAATATAATTACATTCAAAGCACTACTTAACAAGTCAGAAAGAATTGCATAAAAGTATCTCAGCTGTCTCAAAATGTCTCAACTGTACATGTTGAATTGGGGGATGTTATTTAATAATTATTAACTCATTCCATATTTTACTGGTGCGTTTTTCAGTAGTCTCAAAAAAAATTTACTTTTAGAAACAGAAATCCAGAACTAACGAAATGGAAACAATGATGCACAGACACATTATCCTCTCTATTCCATATTTTTCCTGTTTGCAAAGTGTTATATCAAAAACATGAACCAGATACTATCCCTTGGGCAGACACTTAATCTCCTCCTTTGGGGGAGGTTTGGGATGTCTACCTTACGCAGATATAGGGAAAATAAGGTATTTTGTTATTCAAATCTAAACAAACAAGAACTGCCCTAAGCTAACAGTGCCACCATTACTGATTTTTTCCATGAACATTTACCTCTCAGTTTTTCCCCAACACTACCATTCCAAGAGCTTTCCTTAAGCAGCATTGCAGAACGGGAATAAATATCTGTAGCATGAGGCAATAAAAGCTGAAGGTGTTTGTGAAGCAGTGCCACACTGCTGGAATTCTAGAAGGAAGCATACAACCAAACTTAAGAATAACTCTGTAAATGTGTTCAAGGGGTTCATTACTTAAACCAGTTTAGCTTTCACATACTCAGCAGATTTTCAACAGGAATCTGGCAACGTTCTGATGCTCATGCATATTGAATTCACTTTTCCCCCCCAAATGATAAAAATAAGGACGCACACCTCACTAACTATGTTGATGTGGCAGTAAGCTAGCAGCTGTTTTTGCAGTGAACATAAAAGCTCATGAAGGTGAGCAGGTTGGCTGTTTTCTGAGGATGATGTACCCAGCAAAAATTTATCACTGTTTTTTTCCAGTTCTCCAAAGGCTTGGTCCTATTAAGACAAAAAGCAGAAAAAACCCAAACAGTTAACTCTGTCTTCAAATGCTGTTATGCTTTATTATCACCTTAAAAAGAAGCTTTTTTTTACCTTCACCATGTGCATCTGTGACTATCAAAGAAATCGCATAACGTCAAACGGCTCATGGGATAACCTAACTTGAAACTACAATTGCTTAGAATGTCTTCGTAGTGACTGCGATAGCTGTCAAGCAAACATTTCTATTCTAAAAAGAGTATTTTCAGATGCAGACATATTTTTTGTTCAACTCGCCAAGGATAACTGGCTGAAAGAACTCACTTCCCACCCTGATTCCCAAATCACAGTATGTTAAAATAAGTAATCACCCTTTAGAATTCATTGCATAAAATGTTTCAGATTAGAATCCTTCCTTGCATTATCTAGGATGGCAATAAAAGGAGCAGAAGCTAAACAGATGCTTGACTTCATTCTGAATTCTACTAAAAATAAACTGAGTTAGTTTCAAGTAGAAAATTCATAGATAGCTCAGTCTAGATGGCTGGCGGAGGTCTAGAGAGAAGAACAAGAAACTACCAACTCTCACCCCCAGGAGATACGGCTAGAGAAGTAAAAATCTCTGATTTCTTTTCACTGCTATATTTAACTGGCTACTTGAATAACAAGGTGAAAGAGTCAGTTACTTGCTCTTATGCTAAGCTGAACTTTTCAACAGCCTCGGCTGTTGTACAGCTAAGAACAAAAATCTGTTTGACACACTAGGTATAACAAGCTGGTTGACCTGTACTTGCTGTACTACTGAAAGGTAGTTACCCTAGCGACGTTAATTAAACAGTCATGTTCCTGGTGTCTGTCTATCTTTCCCTGGTGGATGAGATCCTACTGACAGAAAGGGTTCTGTACAATCTACTTACCTGATGTGTTACATTCTATCTTCTAAAAAATTTTGATGCCAAAATAAGAGCAATAAAATACTTGTCTGAGGTGAAACTATCTACATTTACATAAGCCAAGTTAAACAACAAGTACCACTACAATAACATTAGAACCATAATGTTAGAGACTATTTAACTGATTTTAGTCCACTTCAGGACAAATACACATGGCGATGCTACTTCAGATAAAGACAAAGAGCACTATTTTTTGAAAGCGGGGAAAACTTTTAACCCTTCTAAGTATTCGAAATTCACTACCCTTTCGAAAAATAAATAAATAAATGCAAGGCCCATACATACTGTATAAAACCCCAAATTTCTTAGCAGAGTCTTCATTAAGATTTCAGCTAGATGAGTATCGGGATGACTGCTCTGGACAGCATATGTTTGATCAGAGAGATTTCCATAGCTGATACATAACGAGGAAGTTTCTGTGGCATCAGATGGTGAGCTATAGCCGAGCAGGGAAGCTACATGGGTGTGATCCTGCAAGCTTGTCAGAATAATATCCAATTGCATTCTCTAAAGAGAAATGTTTAGACACAAGAAATGATCTTTGTTAATCAAGATAAAATAATAAGCTAAGAAGAATAAAGCATCAGCCATAGCTACACAATCAAAATATTCTAACAAGATGTGAAAATTAGCTGCAGGACTTTACCAAAAAGAAACCAAAGTGTTTTTTCTGCAGATTTGTAGTATTAGAGAACAGATAAATACACTGAATTACATGTCCATACTTAGTAAAAATCTGAGATTAAGAGAGATTAGACATTGGATCAAATGCTTTCTCCAGTTTGTTCTAGTTCTCTGATTACTCGGGGGGGGGAGGGGTGTCATTTATTCTATATACAGGAAAAAGGAACAGGGTAAAAAGCAGGGCAAGCATACATTAGACCAAGGGAGGTGGCAGATGCAGCGTAATGACCTCCAGTTGCAGTATTGTTCCCAACTGTTGCTGGTTATGACTCCTGAAAAACCTAAACTTGCTCTGCCCAAGTAACTGTCAGGGGGTTTAATTTGCACCAGCACTAATCTCCAGAAATCATCAGAAGATTCTTCTTCACAGTTTCAGTATCAGCATAAACCAGTCTATTCCATAGTTTATAAAATAAAGGATTTGACCAGGATCCTATATGTACAGAACTGAGCAATAGTTCATTATTCTCATTTTTTAACCTGAGATTACTGTCAAAGCTTCGGTTCCTACCGCCCTCAGGGACAGGAACAGATGTTCCTTGAATGTCCTCCCTTCCATTTGCAGGATACTGGGCAAGTCCTAACCTGCATTAATTCCTGTTCTTTATATTCATGAAAGAAAAAGAAAAACAGGAACATCCCAGTCATCTTTGCAAAGTAGGGTGGAATCCACGTAGGAAAAGCATTATACAAGCATTCTTCCCAAAAAATAGCTGATTTTCAGTTACCAAGACTGGTTAAATCACCCTAGTATTTTAAAATATCTAACCTTTAAACTTGTCTAGATACACTAACACAGCAATTCCTAACCTTTCTGTAGCCAAGCTTCACTTGAAAAAACACGCAGTGCTCCTTACCGGACTAGATTCTGATTTAGCCAGGCTACAGATTTTGTTAAGCTGGGCTTTGCACTGCATCTCACCAATAATGTGCTTGCACTCTGCAAATGAGGGTCACCTCACTGTTCAAAATATTCTAGCAAAAAAAGAAACAAACCGACAGGTGCAACTGCCTTCAAAGCACAGCATGTTTTTACTTGACCTTACCTGTCCTTTTGATAAGCTTTCCCATCTATCAGGACCTTGGGGTAGAAGAGAGTGTAGCAATTCCATTCTCTCTCGCAATGGAGGAAGGAGCATAGTTGCTCCTACTGACAGAGTCTCAATTACGACCTAAAATTACAGTGGCAGAAAATACTTTTTCAGTGAGGGGGGAAAAAAGCACGATATATCCAAACGTCCACTTAATTTCATTTAACATCAGCATTCTTTCACACAATAGCACATTAACCTTTTGTTCTGTGATGCAAAGATGCGGTGCACTGAAGGAGTCAAATGAGACCAACATATTGTCAAAACAATAAAAAAAATCCTTTTAAGTTGCTATTCCCTGTAAAAGTACCATCCTCAGAGAAGTAACTCCAGTAAGTTAGTTACTCAGTCCACAACACTAACACTTCAGGCTCATTATTACAAATAAGAATAATTAAGATCTTACAAAATAAAAGCAGCTTTTTTGAAGTTCTCATGCAACGTTCTCTTCTGCTTTCAGATCACAAAACAATGATGGTGATTAAACTTTTCAACTTTAATGAGTAACACTGGAAAGTCAGAACCATGCTCATCAGAGCCAAGTTCAGAAAGTCAGAGAAATCTTTGATTACACAGTCAAAGAAAGAAAAACAGAGAGTAGTAGAATTTTCACATGTAAATGAAAAAGCATTATTTATTATTTACCTCCTGAATTTCATCTGGGACAGAAGAGTCCATCAGTCTAAACAACAAATTTCGAAGAGGACCAGCTTGCCGGCCAAGAATGCTAGTAGCTACACCTCCAGCCAGTGCAAGTGCAAGATGATTAGAAAGAAGCTTCAAACACAGTTTTAGAAAATTGTGATGTTCCCTGTAAAAGAAATACATCGCCGATTATTAGTCTTACTTCCTTCTACTTATCTGTGCACGAAGCCGTTAACTCCCCTTTGATTTTGCATACCAGAAAGATATGTAAATTACAACTGGGACTTTAAAGAAACTCCTCTGAAAATCTACCACCAATCTGCTTAAAAGAACAGAAACCAACACCAGAATATCTTAAAAAAAAAAAACAACAAAACAACCCACATGGATCATAAAATATCCCAAATTGTCCACTAATAACCTCTGTCTGTGCCAGAAGCAAGCTGCTCTACCTGTAATACTATGCATCATTACAAAGTTTCACAGACAAATCAGTTCCTGAAAAAACTGAACTGCTTTTCTCCATTTTGTTCATTCAGATGGAAAACAGTTCTGCTACTTGACATAACCTGAACAACAGAGTCATACGTGACCTTTAAAAAACTCTTTCATGCATTCTGAATGACTGCTGTTTCTCCAGAGGCGACCAGAGACCTTGAGCTGCAAGAAGGAAACAGATCTCCCTCACACACTAAAAATGCTTGTAGAAAAATATCCTGATTCCTTAGATCGAAACAGGGTTTTATCAGAGCATTGATCCCGACTCAAAACACAATGGCAACTATACGTCTCCTGATCTGAGCACCACACGTGTGTTAGTCCGCAACTGAACGTATGGACTGATGGATAATCACTGGACAAGGTTTTTTTTGCCTGAGCTTATCAGCAGATCAGTCAGTAAGCATCCACTCAAACTGGTTACAAGATGAAGAACTTCAAAGCAGAAGTAATGTACAGAAATAGTAAATGCATCTCAACTATACAGAAAACTGTGTTTTAAAGGGTAACTCCAAAAGAAAATATTTAATTCAGTGCATAATTAAAATAAATTCCAGACAAAAGATCCTGCTACATTTGAGGCACTGAAAAGCTCCTGTGTTACACAAAGAAACAAATGGCACCTGAAAGAGCAAACAAACCAGACTCATGCTTGCTAAAGAAAAGGCTAAGCAGGACTAAGCCAAGCATCACCGCTGTAGAGAAAAAAAATTATAAAAATCTGTAACATGCGTATGCCATACATACCTTGAAGAAGGAAAAGGAAGAGGGGGAATTTCACTGTTTATTTTGTCACAGTAGTGCTCAAGAAAAGAGCGAAGATGCGAAAAGGTACTTTCTTCAAGGTCTACACAATAGGGTCTGTGCCATGCCACAACTTGCCTGGAATCAAACATCCACATCAGTTAACTACTGAAAATTTTCTAACTGCTTTAATAAATTAGCAGTTTAAGTAGGTTGAGTACACGCTTGACTGCACCAATTCTTTTCCTAGAACAAACTAACGTGATTGAGGCAGTCTAATTTCCTGACCCTTGCAGGTATTTTCTGCTCTCTTTTCTACACAGGCCTTGACAAATCAAACGCTTATGAACAAAACCACCTACAATGCCACAAATACAAAGCCATACGTATTTAATCTGATTCATGCAAAAGCTGACCAGTACTCACAAAGCTGTTTTTACTATAAATGCCGGACTGTAAAGAGACTTTGATACAATGTAAGGAGAATTCAAAAGGGGTAATACCACTAAGTACTACTTGAGTCTCAGTATATTCTTCATTTATTTTCCCAAGATAGTTCCCTTTAAAACAGGGCATTTGAAATTCTTCCTGAATTATCTTCCAAATATTAAGTTTTTCTACTCCTTTGCACTAGTCCGTATATAAACCTGAAGTTTACCAGTTCGCTTCCATCACTTACTCCTGTCTTTGGTGCAACAAAGTATTCAGTTGCTGTGTATTAATAACCAAATTAATAACCAAACTGTTTATTTGTACCTGTTTTTAGTTTAGGTGAACACGTAACCATCCAGAAATATCTTAAGATGGTTAAATCCACATCAGTGATTAGTCTAAATTTCCCCATTTCCCAAAGTCTTGTGCTTAGTTTACTCCTTGTTACACTAAAGGAAATTGCCTAAGCCATAAAAACAATCCTGTCAGAAGCATAAAATAAAAAAATACTGAGTTGTTTCTCCTCCCTCTATCATCACCTATGTTGTCGATTTTTAGCAAACAGGTAATTTTTGTCTAACAGCAGGTAAGAAATCTTCATCACAAAGAACTAACATCCAAATCCTTGGCGCTGCTATATTTTCACTTGTAATCTGTAACAGTTTAAAAAGAAGAAAGAAGAAAAGAGGAGGAAAGAGAGGAAGAGAAAGAGCAGGAGAGAGAGGAAGAGAGAAGAAAAGACTCTCCAGTCCAAAACATTACAAGCAGAATAACTGAAACGCACGACATCGTTAACACCTTCAGGAAAGAGTCACACGTATCCCAAAGTGAACTTGTATAAAAAAAATTTACAGCTGTCCCCCAACGTCATCGTTACCTGTCCCTTGGCAGAGCTGTCCAGGCAAGGCTATGGGATGTTCCCGCTGAAATTTGTTGAACTGCAATTCCATCTAAACCACTTACTTTCTTCGGCTTAGTAATGGGACCAGTAGAGTTTCCCTGACCACACTGTCCCATTGAATTGTTACCCCAAGCATAAACTTCATTATCTATAAACATAAATAAAGTAGAAAACAAAACCTGAGATACAATTGCTTTTGATCAAGAGGAAGATTATGTATTTTTACACCTTATTCTCTTTACCATGAGAAAGTGCCAAGCAGTGACTGTCACCAATTGAAATATCAACTATTCTTGTAGCAGCCAGCTCTTCAATAAGCTTGGGTCTGAGAGCAGTTGCCTCTGAAGAGCCACAGCCAAGGCATGCACCGCAGCCCCACGCGTAAACCTAGAGCAAACAAACCACAAAATAACAGCATGTCAAACTCATATGATTGGTGACCACGAACAAACAAAATACCAAATAACCACTTGCCCAGCAATTGCAACTACACTTTCAATAAAACATGCACAGGACTTTCATGACTACTGTACATTTCTTTCCCCCAGCCACCCAGATCACTGGCCACAGAGCACGTCAATGGGGAGGCCATTGCAAGAAAAGAAACTGCTACAGTAAACTTTGACACTCCCAATACATACTCTAAAAATCAGTGGGGTGAGAGTGAGAAGTCAGTCAGGTTACATGTGCAGAAATGCTTGTTGTATTACACGTCTATACATCATGCCAGTGAGGGCCCTCATTTATCACCTAAACATTTATCTCCAAGCTCTCCTGAGATTTTTCAGATTAGAAATAAAACTTAAAGTTAACACCCATGTTCTAAATTACACATACATTTTAAAAACTACCAAATCACTTAACCACTCGAGCTGGTTAATGCATTAACTATTACAAGCATTTTACTGCTTTTTGGTTCCAGAACCCACTTTGCTTCCTGAATCCAATTTGTTTTTGCACTGGTTAAGTTTATTAACCTAAAAATAACTAATTTTCTGTGGCTAAGCAAGACTATTGAAAAGTGTGCTTTTACCTGACTCTTCAGCACATTGTGAATTACTCCAGCACCTTAGAATCTAAGTACTTTAGTCAATCTCTAATCAAGAACTTTACTGATATTAGCTGAATATTTTTCTCAACAGTCAAAATAATAAATGTTGAAATAATGAACCGATACCATCTTCACCACCTTTCATCACTTGAGGAAAACTTGGTTTTGCCTACCTGCCCTGTTGATGTCAAGGCAAGCGAAGACTGGCTCCCAGCACAAACTTTTCGAATAAACATTCCTTGCAAGGCTTCTATAACTTTAGGTTTATATACTCTGTTTGTATCACCATGACCAAGTTTGCCTACAAAAGAAGGAAACGCAAGTGGAAGGTATTTTTAATGCATAAACTACAACAATTATAAGTATCCAAAGAGAACTCGCTTTGGATTTCTAAAAATGTCACCGGGTATTTTTAAAATTAAAACATATTACAAATTTTATAAAACCTATTTTCTTTCAACTGCAGTAATTACAGACTTCAGGAAATACACATTTATTGTCACGTATTAAAAAACTGAAATATCAATTCCATATAGCTACACTGTTCATTGTCTGCTGTTTAACTACTAAAGCCTTACAAAGGACTAAACCTTTTCATATCTGGCAAAAAAATACGCAAAAATTTCTCTCTCCTACTTTATAAAGTGACTTGAAAACCCCCAAATTTTCTGCATTTTTTCCTAACAGCTGTGTGCATTTGTGTAGACATTAATATTTTCATTCCCTTGTCCTCCTTTAGCTTTCTCTTGAAAACAGCTATTCATCTCCACAACTTCACCATCTTCAATGACCTCAAAACCAAGGACTGTCACTAGACCATGTCAGAGTGTTGACAGAAAAACAATCCTCAAAAGGAAGGAGAAAAAAACACAATAAAATGTTAAATATATTACAAAGACTGATATTTTCTATCAAGGCTATACTTTGATTCATGTTCTTTTAGTTTTCCTACAACAACATTTTAGTACCACATTATTAATATCCAAAGCGAAATTGTTTATAATTTACTGAAACAAAAGAGCAAACTCCAATACTTTGTGAAGGTTAAGACGCCCGTCCTGTTAAAAGCTGATTTTTCAACTGAAATTACAGAGGGAGAAAGAGGAGTGGGAACAATTCTAGATGCGCATGTCAGAGCCTGCTTTTGAATGAAATTCAAATTCCTACCCAGTTCTAATAACTGCCAGTCTGATTATGAGATTACTGTACCTTGCATTTTCCTCTCTTCTCACACTAGGCTAGGAAGCAACAACACAGCGATTTTAATCTGAGTTTTAATTTTTATCTAGCAGCATAGCCAAATTTAGCTAAATACAGTAATAGTAGAAATGAATGATTCTGTGTTTGACAAAGCACCTACTGACAATGAAGCTTACAAGCCATTAATTTTTGAGGTGGAAGCAGTTTAAAATGCAACAGCTTCTAGTACACTAATACAGTTACTGCCATATCAAGTAAGTGAATTTATTTGAAAGTTATCAGCAAAGCATGTTTTCCAAAATTGTTTATGCATTCATTGAGCCTTCTGTTCTCTGAAACCCCTCATCCTTCTGATAATCCGTTTTTAAAGTCTATACTCTTGCACTTGAACTTCAAACATTTTCTTTAGATTTTACTAAAATCCTTTTCTCGAACAGCTACCAAATGACAAAAACAACCCCAAACTGCAAGGAGTACTGAGGCAATGAGGTAGATAGAATAAGATGAAAACTACTCCCAAATTTTAGTTTTACCTACCGTTATCTCCTCCTCCAAATGACCATACCGTTCTCCCATCTTTGGACAGAGCAATTGTGTGAGAACTGCCACAGGAAACCTCTCCGACATTGCTAATATCTTTTACTAAAGTTGGAATGTTGCGGCTGTTGCTGTCACCGTGACCTAAGGAAAAAAGGAAAATACAGTTTCTTTTTGTGAAGATTTAAATTCTATTTATGGCTCGTAATTTCAGTAAGATTTTGAAAAACCCACATACACTGTAATTCTCACAAATTATAATGTCTGTCTGCTTTTTGGAAAGTTCTGTAGTAAGTTTTGGAAGAGATCTGTAGTAAGGTTAACAAATTCTCGTTTTTTTTAAGACATATTCCAGAACTCTTGTTCATACCTTATTGCTACTAAACCACAGAACTGTTTTCTACCTAGTTTAAAAGAAATAATAGGAATTACTGGTACAACCACCTTTACTACCAGTTGATTATGTAGCTCTACTGCCTAATACGGGGCAGCAGTTAGCTTGAACAGCACGAGCAAACTAAAATCAGGGCACACCCTTACCGCTGTCAACAGAAGCATACATATTGCACAGACAGACAAAACCAGTAAACTAGTCAGCTTTAGACAGTCACAATTCTAACTGCAGAAGCCTAATACATTACAGTGTCACCTACTTCATAATAAGCAGAAGTTACATGCCCAATAAACTACAGAAATTCTGCAGATATGGAAGAAAAATGGGAAACAGAGGGAAAAGAATACTACATAGTATCCATAACTGATTAAATGTGAACAAGTTACTATGGCCTAATTAAATGCTACTTAGTAGCTGTGCACTGGAACTCAGCATTGCACACTCCAAGCTCCCCAAAGCACATAAAAGCCCTACTTTAACCTAAAACTGATGAGAACATTTCCACAATGCCCTCCAAAATTGCAGGTTAAACCCCTAACGCAGCGCTCTTTTCTTAACAGCAGGGATAGGCTGTCAGCACTTCCACTGATTGCCACGAAAAACTGTGACAGTTTAAGCTGTACAACACTGCCCTCCTCTCCTGCCCCGCCAGTTGTTTGCCTTCACCCCACTGCTTGGACACCACTACATTCAAAGCAAAGACAGCAGCAAGAAACTAAAGCCCAGCTTGAAGCAATGTCCTCTGCAACACCTGCTTCTTCA